GAAAGAAAAGCCAATTGACCTCACCCAAAACTCATAGCAAGTCTACAAAGAAATCCCTGTTCCGCCCTTAAAATCCACTTCATTTTATTGAGAACACACACCTGAAGACAAAACAAACACACACAGAGATAATGTTGATTTTAGAACAAGGTAAAGATCCATCAAACAAAGGAACTGCTCTGGGTGGTAACAAAATTTCGTTGTCATTAAATTTGACTTAAAGGTGATTGTTGACAGTAAAATTGTAGCAAATTAAATATTGCTTTTGCTGAACTACCCCCTCATCACCATCTGTTTGGAGGGGAAAAGGGACAAAAATATTCCTCTTTTAAGAAAATACGCATGAGCATAATTCAGCCTGATATCTACATCAACAGATGTGCGGCCCAGTAAGAGGCCAGTTCAAGCGTGGACATGTGGTCAAGGTGTGGGCAGTGCAATGTGGTACGAAGGAAACTGCCTCCAACAGATGACAATATCTTCGAGTGTCCTACTCACCGTGGGCACACACAAAGCTGAACTCACTCACAACCCCTACGCTTCGGCAGAGGCACATTCTCACAACCAGACCGTTCGGTCTGCGAGACACTACCCACACACACACGGAGACAGAGGCACATGCACGTACTGACACACATACTCCATTGGCCCGTGAGACACTGCCCACACACACTGGCAGATGCAGGCTGAGTCACTCGTAAGTGCAGACGGGTGGATTTGAGCTCCCAAGGTCCTGTGGGATTACTAAGCAGCTGCTAGGCGTACACACAAACATACATATCGACACACTCCCAAAATCACACATGAAGTTGGACAAAGAATTGCCAACAGATCGAGTTGCTCACAGAATTCCATTGAAAGAATGGCAGAGTTGTCATTCAAGCTCTACACATGCTTTGCACCTTTCGTGTTTGTTTATTAAACAGTTCTGCTACACTTAATAGTGTACTGCATCTCTACTGAAAACATTTCAGCGAGTTCTTTGTAGATTTTTGGTTTTTAAGATTTTCCCCCCAAAATCAGTGCAGAAAATGCAACAAACATGAGCATTAAAAAGACAAAGCTGCCAGTTATATGAATATAAAACCATATTTCTCAACTAGATTTGTATAAGGACCTAGTTTTTACTTTGGACATCAAGTAGCAACCCAATACAGTAGGAAAATTGTTTATCATACAAAAGTAACCACATAAAAGATTGAAATTTAATAGACCCAACAATATGCAAAAAAGAATACTAGTTCAAATGGTTTAAGACCAGTTTATGTGGAACATGGCATCTATCAAATTTGACTACTTCCTACTAAGTAACAGATGAATTTGTGGCAAAAAAAAGAGTGATGAACAGAAAAGTTTTTTTTTTTACCGAAACCAAAAATTTGGGTAATTGGTTGACTGAGTCATTTAACTTCATATGCTGTACAAGTAGCATATATTAAACCAGTTGCAAGAAATTTCAAGCCACTTCTCTATATTTTACTGACACAAATTTTTTGGTTTGTTCACAGTGCCAATTATTGCTGATCTGTTGTAGCTCATCCATTTTGTATGCACGAAATAAACAATGACATGGTCAAAATTAATTAAAACGTCACCCTTCAAAAGTATTCTGGCCAATGATTGATACTTCGAAAAAAATAAAAAAAAATAAAAATATATATATATATATATACACACACACATACATACTGTATAAGGAATGTCAAACCCAGTTCCTGGAGGACCACAGCCCTGCAGAGTTTAATTAAAACACCTGAACCAGATAATAAAGGTTTTTAGGATTACTTTAAAACTGAAGGTAGATGTGTTGAAGCAGGTTGATGTGTTGGAGCTAAACTCTGCAGGACTGTGGGTGTCCAGGAGCTGGGTTTGACACCCCTGCTGTAGAGTTTTACCAGACTCTCAACCTTTGATGTCAACAACTAAAGATACAGGGACCATTTCCTCTGCCCTTTTAAAAGCTGATAAGCCCATTTATTTTGCCATCTCAAAAATGAATGATAACCTTACATTGTATTTTATGATTTGCATTTTTGTCCTGCTGTCTGTGACAGAACAGACCAGCATTTCTGGGTCACGACCCTCCAGTTGAGAACCGCTGATGTGAAAGATGATGCCTGATGCTGTCAAATGGCCCACTACTTCATTCTTCTATCTGTGAGTGCAGTTTATCGCTCTGCTGCCTCTGCTGTCTCTTTATTTCTTATAATAGAGAACCCCACTGTGGCCTCACAATACCCATAATTATACAAATCACAGAGCCTAAAGAAGCCAAGAGACCCAATGAGGAATGAATATCCTCCCACTTAGAGTCTGAAAGGACAAAACGACCTCGATGCTCAAAGCTAGAGGTAACATTGGTCATGACTTGAGTTCCAATGCTACAGGACATTGAAATAATGATCCCTAACAGAGGTTTAAATATTTTTTTCTTTGAGCAGGCTACCACTGATTACTTTCTAAAGTGTCTTAATATAGGTTTTGAGGTAGTCAATTCTATGGCTTCATCCTACTTACAATCATCCTATCTATGAGAGAACATTGGAGATACATAAGCTTGATGTCTTTAGTTAATCCTAAAACAATCAATCAAGTACAATCCAGCAGGAAAATGTCAACATTTTTTATCAAAGGTCATAATATTGGAAATGGTTTCACTGTAAATACTCTAAAACTTCTGCCTTCGACAAGAAGATAATACTAATGCATGCAAAATAATCCTGAAGGAGGATTATGTGGTCAAGAAACGCCCAGTTATTAAACTAAAGCTTTTCTTTTGCCCGGTTACACAACTTTTCTAAGCTCATGAAAAATGTATCTCCACATTCAAAGAAAGACTTACAGTACAAGGCAACTAACTTCCTTCTTCAGATATTATCATGACCTCGTTTTGACTTCAACCTCACAAGAGCCTTTCCAAGTTAGAGCAACATTCCTGTTAGTTTACATACTGTATGCACTCCTGTCAAATGTGGTTTCCATTTCCTTATTAACACACAGGCACATGTTTGACTAATCACGTTTTTTTTTCTAAAGCCTGCAATTATATACCATACTATACATATCATACTAGATGTATGCTAGCGCACACATAAAAAAAAGTATATATATATACATATATACACACTTTGGGCTAAATGGTAAGCAGTCAACTCTGTCATGGAAAGTCATAGTTTAAAGTTCATTGTTTCACTTGACACCAAAAAAGCACTAAAAAGCATTTTTAAATATATATTATTATATATTTTCTAATATAAAAAAAATTATATAACATGCAGTGTGACATGCATAGTTCATCTAAACCTATTTATTATCTTTTTAAACTATTTTACACTTTCAGACTAGGCTTTTTCAGGCCAACGCCAAAATGTATTTACTGATTATTATATATTCTATAATATAGAAAAATTATATATTATATTGTTTTAATATTAATTTAATGATAATACATACCATTTTATTACCTCATGTTATTTACTGTTAATTAAAAAAAAAGTAAAAGGAGATTTAAAATGAAGAAAATCTTCCCCTTTTTAATCTAAAAAAATTGACTGATAATGTGCACACTCTTAAAAATAAAGCTGTTTCACGATGTCATAGAAGAACTTTTTTGTCTAAATAGTTCCATAAAGAACCTTTAACATCCAAAGAACCTTTCTGTTTCACAAAAGGTTCTTTGTGGCGATAGAAGGTTCTTCGTTTATTTTATACTTTATACTTTATTTTTAAGAGTGCATGATATTTGTCATCCCATATATGAAATGTCTTGCATATGCCATGATGTCTCATTTTCACATATCACATTAAAATATCGCCTTAAATCACATTTGGTTTCAGGCAAAAACACTCTGTTCCCTGCAGTTTTCCTCTGACCCCAAAGAAAACTTAAAAGCTCAGAAAAACGCCGCCCCTGTCCAAGTAATAATAGTGTCCCTTCATTCTCTAGCCAAGGATATTAGCTCCATGGGTTGGAATTAACAGCCTAAACATTAAAGTCCCTTAACAGATGTCTGCAGGATTAAACTAACACGCTTCACTGGGTCAGTCTCAGCAGCCACCAAGGTTTAGTTTGGTGAGTCAGGTGGTTTCAAAGAGGTACGCTACAACAGACGTGAGCTCACGAGGGAAATGCTGGCAGAGAAAAGAAGTAAACGACGTTCGTATGCGTGTGCAGTGGGGATCCATGGAAGTGCATTAGTCACTCTTTCCTGATGGGACTCAGATATGCTCCATCTGTTTTACACAATCAGTTTCATACCACATTACCAACCGAGAACTCATTTAGAGCTAAACAAATCCATGGTTACAAACACACTCACACTAACACATTCTAAGCCAGGGCAAACAGTTATCAATTAAGCTTTTAACAAATTCAAAAAATGAAGGAACTACAAGACTAAAGAACTAGAGGAAATGTACAGAAGTAAACTCTTGAAATGTTTTTATTCTCTACACATACACGTGATGAAATCAGACTAGGCACCCGAGACTCTCGTGTCCCAGGACAGATTCAAGTATTTGGCTAAACTGGTTCTACACTGAAACCAGCTATTTCTGCTTTTAATTACATGAGCCTCTAGTTTGCATTATTTAAAGGGATAGTTCACTGCAAAATCTAAATTCTGTCTTAATAAGTCTCAGTCCCCATTCACTTATATTGTAGGCCTGCTTAAAAAAAAATACAATAAGTGATTGGTGACGGAGGCTGTCAGTCCGTCATATACTGCCTACGATTTCAGCTTGTGTCCCAGAAAAGAAAGTGACACGTTTGGAACAGCATGAGGGTGAGTAAACGATGACAGAATGTTCATTTCTGAGTGAACTGTCCCTTTAAAGCAAGTTATTCATCAGCAACCAACTTTTAAAAAGAAAACCTTTACATTTAAATTTTGTATTAAGTTTACACCACGAATGAATAAATCTGGCACAGAAAACATAGAATATAATTAATGCAGAAAAATATAAATATAAAACTATAAGGCGATAATAATGAAACTCACCTTATAGACATTCTCCGTTATACGGTGCACCTCATCGGTCCGGGACATTTTGGAAGCTTGAGTCAGAACCATAGACGACAACTTGAATTTATACTGCAGGAAAATATTTCCGAGAAAACACAGGAGGAGAGGAGGAGAAGGAGGAGTAGGAGACACTGTATCATTCAAACAGAGAGTGTCAGAGACAGAGGAGGATGCGGGAGCTTTTATATGGAACTCTCTCACTGATGCCCACGCGCAGCCGCCGGAGTGGCGGGAATCCACCGTACGCGTTTTGTCCTCGTCACTGGAGCTGCGCTTGATATTCAAACGGACTCCGCCTCTCCTCTTTCACCTTCTACGCTGCGAGCGAGCGAGCGAGCGAGCGGCGCGACGCGACGCGACGGAAGAGCTTCCTTGGTTATAATAGGAGCTTTCGCGTGGCCACAGAACGCGGACAGTGACAGAGCTGCGAACGTGAGATCATTTACTACAACATTGTGTCGCGTGCTTGCAGTGTATACTGTTGTCGTAATAAGGTTCAAGTTCGGCGCGACGCTAAACTGTGTTGAGGGATGTCAGGAACAGTCTGTTCCTTAACGTTTGTATTCTTGAACCCACTCTTTAGTGGGGGGATTTTTATTCATTTCAATAAACTGAACCTTTGAATCCCCGTACCCCGTTCACTACAAAGATTAATTCACATTCTTCAGCTTACATCGTTCGCCAGTAGGTGGCGACAATGAGCGAATCATTGAATCATTCATTGAACCGATTCTGTAAAAAACACAGTCATTATCCTTTAAAATTTTCGTGCTTACAAGTTTACTGAAAACTCATATGTTTTACTGATATATATGAGCAAAGCAAACCTATCTTTTCTTAATTTTATTCATCAGGAGGACATTACTTTAAACAAGCTATAGAAAATTATCCACAGTAATAGCAGGTGTGATTTCACTGAACAACAAAAAAAAGAGGAAATAAATTCGAACGATTCGTTCACTTAAAAGATTCATTATAACTAGAAAGTACGAATTAATAATATTTAATAGTTAATATTTATCTGTGGATTAATACGTATCGTGAAAACGCCATACAAAAAACTTAAATTGAAAGGAGAGGATGTTAAAACGAAATTATAAGAAAAGACATCATTTACTCATCTATTAATTTCTTAATATTTTATAAACGACTTAGAGACATTTAATAGTAAATTTTTGTGTAAAAAAAAATTACAAAACTATATGTAAATCAAAGGATAGATGATGTCTTTTGTTGTTTTGAGAAACATTGCTTTGTGGTTGTATTCCCAGCATCATCATCACTACATCACTCTTAGTGCAACTATCACCCAAGGACTGGAGGAGGATCAGATGAGATGAGTACAGCAGTGGGCACTGCGCAATTCATGCCTGGGTCTGTGCCTGACTGTGATGTAGGCAGGGATTCCTTTATGTAGCCTATCTCTCAGCAGCTCCTACCCACACCACCAACACACAGTTCCCCTGCTGCACTCTGCCTCACTGTACTATCATATACACAGGATTGAGGGCAGACAATGTAATCATATACGACTCTACCATTGAAAAACCCACACTGATCGACCACAAAACGTATCGCCCACTGAATATTGTGAGTGAACAAGAAGATTTATTCCAAATTTGGTCATATTATTTAACCCTTATTATGTTCTGGGTCAATTTGACCCATTTTGATTTTTGAGCTGTCGGAAATACCAGTTAACCAGTGATTTTATTCTTGATATTTTGTGACTTTTTCTCATTTACAACTGACCCTACTTTAAAACATTTTAAAGTACCATAAATTACCTTTTTATGATGATAACTAAAACGTGATAGGGAAAAAGGAAACGAAAAATAATTTTTGTGACAAAGGTCAGAACTCCTATTATGATGTATATGTTTTGAGGTGCACTCTTGTCATAAATTATTCTATTACTGTTTCTACATAATTTGTAACAAAAACCAGTGGTATAATATCTATTTAGGAGTCTTAGACCTTTCCAACGATATATAGGTTGTCATGATTAGATTAGGATTTAACTGTAATATAGTATTATAGAATATAGTAATATAGAAGTAAACTTCTGGCAGCAGAACGGTAACAGTTAAAGGGTTAAAAAATGTGGTTAAACACATTTTAAAAAATCATACTTTTTGATATTAATTGTTTGTACTGTGTGACAAATACTGATATTAAAATTGTTCCGTTCATACCTGATTCCTTCTTGTTTTTAATAATATGATATTTAGGGAATTGCATTGAATGCAGTTAGGGTCAATTTGACCCACTCCATCAAAATCATACCCAGAAACCAAACATAATACAAAGTCACATATTTATATAGCACTTTATACAACACAGATTGTTTCAAAGCAGCTTCATAGTAATAAAAAGGAAAATAACAGTGTCAATGTTGGAAAGTTAATCAATTCTGAAACAACTTTAATTTCAGCTATAAAGGAGACAATAGCATTATTCAGCTCCATTAATCTCATCCGATAGCCTAGTGTCAATACAGTTATCGACAGTATTTTCTGAATGATAAGTCTTTTAAACTTTGTTCCAGCACACCTGCACGTCATTTTCAAATGATCCCCAAGACCTTGATTATTTAAGATTGTGTTGATTACAACTAGAGCTGATCTCCGCAGGAAGGTAGATCCCGAAGAGCAGGACTGAGCACCCGTTTTAAAGGTCAAGCGAGAGAGTAAACTGCATTTAATGGTTTGTGTGCTCCTTGATTGCAAAGGTCAAGAAATCCAATACAATGGACAATTTCCTTTCTTTGTTTCTTTTTCAGCCAGCTGCACATATACAACTCATGGAGGTTCCTGGCAAATGTGTATAACATTAGAGATGCTTCCGTCTAGAGGCCACATCGATTGATTTCGCATCACAGTGGAGGTCTTATCTACTGAATCTATCAAGACCAAATGTAAAGGGTAAATAAAAAGCAACAAAGCAAAGCAGAGATCAATACAGACACCTAAATCCAGCAACTCTTTAGAACAGCTGGATGTGATTAAGAGAAGCTTTCAGTGTGAAAACATGGAAAACTCACTTTAAATGTGGGATGAGGGAAGGAAATTGTAATTTAATTCAAATGAGATGATGTGAGAAACTGTTCCATATTTCAATATAGATTTTAACGTAAAAAAAAAAAAGATGGATTTTAAACATAATATGTATGTATAATATTATGTAGGATATCTTCCATTTACTGTTTTTAGGAAGCTCAGTTTCTGTCTTTAACATACATTCCCTTGTTCATTGGTCAGAGTCAGTTGTCTAACAATGTAACAGTATGAAACTGCTTCACATTGAGCTCTGGTGAAGCCATTCAGACTCATGGGGCAGCCGCCCTCTCCCATGGTGCTTTGTGTCAGGCAAGATAAGAGCAGCCCCACACAGCTCAAACCGGCTGGTTCCAGACAATGGACTTCCAACTAAGCAATACAGGTACTTAATTTTAGATCAATACCTTTCAAAAAATGGTCTAACATAGGCTTGCTCATGAAAATCTGCACACTAGTGAAATACTCAGTAACCGGTTACCTGGGGTATGCATATAGCTGTAAATCTCAAATTGAATTTAAATTAATGAATTAAAAAAAAAAAACCGTTGACCCCAAAGATATTACACAAATGTTTGGGGTCAAAAATGTTTTTTAAAGAAGTCACTTATGCTCACCGAGGCTGCATTCAATTGATTTAAAATACCGTAAAAAAAGTAATATTGTGAAATATTATTACAATCTAAAATGAGCACTTTCTATTTTAATTTTTAAAAATGCAATTTATTCCTGTGGTGGAAGAATTGGATTTTCAACAGAAGTTACTCCAACCTTCAGTGTCACATAATCGTTCAGAAATCATTCTAATATGCTGATTTTTTTTTTTTTTTA